AAAGCCAAACATTAACATTTTTAAGTTATCTAAGTGACTTATATATCATGTTTAACCTGAGTAGTGAAAGACTGCGGGGGTTTTGAAAAAGATGTGCCGGGAGTTAGCTGTTCTTGTCGGCTCAAGTGCAACTTGACCTCCTGGCCAGCTCGTCACTGAAAACATCGGAGCACTTTTGCAATTATGTGATGTCTTGATAAACTGAGCAGCTATTTGAAGTTTACACAGTTACATTCTCGCCTGAAAATATGTTAAATGTTTATTTTGTGACCAAGAAAGAGTAATAAGAGTAATATTAAAACCAAGTAGCTGCTGCCATTGTTGGAAACTGGAATTGGCTGGGTCGTGCTATGAATCCTGGGATAGGTTGGGCCACAAAGGACACACCTGACCCATTCTTCAAATCTGGGGAAGTGAAGGACAAATTTGGACAGCCTTCGTAGCGTTGCTGTAATCGGCCTAGAAATGCAGCCTCTGAGAGATGCAGCCCCTAAATTTGGACACAGCTATGATTCTGGAGACTGCTTCTTCTTCTGCGTTTAACAGCAGCAAGCATCCTTGTACATCCAGTGCTGCCATCTTCAGTTTCAGTCCATTTTTAAACTCTGATGTCCTGCTGCTTATTCCCGCGTCTTTCGGGAATTTACAAAGCTTCAAACGATGCGTCGACTATTAAATTAGTTGTCAATGATTTTGATAGTCGACGTAATCGTGGCAGCCCTAATTGTAAGTCAAACACAACTTCAAACCTTTTGAATCATTGGAGTTGCTATTCCCTGTGGTGGCTTTGTGTGACTCACTATCTCCCCACCATGCCTCTTGACAGTGTAATGTAAAAAAATGCTGTTGGAAAAATGTTCTTATTCTGTGGTTTCCCACTTTAGGGCTTGGTCAACAATGTCGGGCTTCCAAGCTCTCCTTTTTTCAAGCTTCAGTGTGCTTCTCTTCGGTCCTGCAGTGGGTGAGTAGCAGCTTCATTGAGCTCATTCCTGTCTGTGGCCATCTCCCCGTACAACTCATCCACTCTGCTCTTCTTCTTATTCAGCTGCTTATTAAT